GCAGGTCTCGAACCCGCAGGCTCAGGCAATCCACTCACCTCAGCCTCCCAAAGGCGCGGGATTACAGGCTGAGTCACCGAACCTGGCTCACTGTCTTATTCTTAAATTACTTACATAATTCTTCTGCCTCTCACATAAGGGTCTCTTATTATCTTTATATCTTTGTATGACACGAGCCTTAATACTCAAAATCAGTGTAAACAATTTAGTAGTGTCATTCAATTTAAATGTAGATAACCCTAAGACTCAGCAACTCCATTTTTTGACACAAACCCCAGAGAAGCACTTGCACATACATAGAAGACATGCTCAAGGATCACCTATGACTGTGAAAAAGTGGAAACAGTCTATATGTCCATTAGTGGGGAGGAATCAACTACACTGTGGTACAACCATTTTCTGAAATAGTATCAACAGTTGTTAAAAGAAGGAAGATCGGCCAGGCTCGGTGGTTCATCCTGTAATTCTAGCACTTTGGGAGGCCGAGGTGAGTGGACTGCCTGAGCCTGCGGCGAGTGGACTGCCTGAGCCCGCGAGTTAGAGACCAGCACGGGTAACTTGGTGAGATCTCATCGCTACAATAAAAATTAAAAATTAGCCAGGTGTGGTAGTGTGCACCTGTAGTATCGGCTCTTTGGAAGGCTGAGGAAGAAGGAACACTGGAGCCCAGCAGGTTGACACTGGGGTGGCTGTGAGTGTGCCACTGCACTCCAGCCTGAATGACAAAGTAAGACTGAACTCAAAAAAAAAAAAAAAAAAAAAAAAGAAGGAAGATCTATATTGCCACAAAAGGTGATCTTAAAAAAAAAGAGAAAATAATGATGTATATTTTTTATGGTTTAATATACAAGCAGGCTGGGCTTGGTGGCTCCGCCTGTAACTCCAGCACTTTGGGAGGCCGAGGCGAATGGATTGCCTGAGCCTGTGGATTCGAAACCCACCAGGGCAACTTGGCGAGACCTCGTCTCTACAATAAATCAAAAATTAGTGGGCGTGGCAGCACACACCTGTGGTTCTGGCTACTTGGAAGGCTGAGCTGGAAGGATCGCTGGAGCCCAGCAGGTCGAGGCTGCAGTGGCCAAGAGCGTGCCACTGCACTCCAGTCTGGGTGACAGAGTGAGACTCCAACTAAAAAAAAAAAATAAAAAACAATATACCAGAGGGTGCCAAAAATGTATATATATTTTAAGAAAGGAAAAAAAAAGTATTAAAATTGAAATTATACAGATAACAGAAGATGAATACAAGTCACGCCTGACTTCTGCAATTACAAGAGGTGCTCAAATTACCATCAGCATCCAGACACTTCTGAAAAGTACTTTGAAAAGTAATACATAGATAACATCTCTTAGAATGTGTATATATTTTTTGGGGTACCTCTGGTACATAAATGCACTGAATTATCTTTATCGGTGGGGTTTTGGGTGAAGTATATTAAGATTTGAGGGCAATTTCAGCTCTACTGTAATGTTAGAATTTGTTAAGAATGTACTAATACATTACTTGATAATTTCAGATAAACTAAGTGAATGTATAAAATCATTTACACTATAAAGGGACAGTTTTAATTCACGTGGAACAAAACTTACCTGTGCAAAAAACTCTCTTTTGCCAGCTGAATTTGTAGAGTTCCACCTTTCCATTTTGTTTTATTTAAAACAGACATACCTATAAAGTAAAGAATGATTACCCAACTACATGACAACACAAAAATATATTTCAGCACATGCTTTTTCTAATTATTTAGTACTAAGAAGAGCAGACTTGTTTATCACAGAGACACAGAGGAAGTAGGAGAAAGAAAATGAAACCTGCAGAGGGAGCCCAAGCACTTGTCTCATCTCGACCACTTACCAAAAGGGTCCCTGTCTCACAGTGTTACTAGATTGGAATAAGGCAAAATGTGTAACAATAGAGGAAAATTTCTTTGCAATCTGTTTGTAAACTAATGTCAGGAACCTCTGAATAACTTATCTTTATTTAAAATTTCATTGTTAGCTGGGCAGTGGCTTATGCCTATAATTCCAGCACTTTGGGAGGTGGAGGTGAAAGGACTGTCTGAGCCCACGGGTTCGAGACCAACCTGGACAACTTGTGGAGACCTAGACTCCACAGTAAACCAAAAAATTAGCTGGGCATGGTGGCACACGCCTATGGTTCCAGGTGCTTGGAAGGCTGAGGTGGAAGGATTGCCTGAGTCTAGCAGGTTGAGGTTGCAGTGGCTGTGAGTGTGACGTTATACTCTAGCCTGGGTGACAGAGTGAGATATTAACTAAAAAAAAAAAAAGTTTATTGTTATTTCCCATAATGTAACTATGGAACCTTGATGTAATCTTTTTAGGTGAATTAGAGGATGATTTGGAATCCTGGAGCACATTATTTTTATTTACCACTTCCTGCTAATTATTACTGTATAACTTGCAAATGAATTAACTATATTTGAATTGCTATGTTCTAGTAGTTGATTTTTCTGAATATGTGCTACCAGCTTCCTTAATAATAACCACTAACAGAATTTTCCAGGTGGTCAGCCCTACAGTAAGTAAACATGTTATCATTTAATTTCTCCCTCACAGTAATATTATGAGTCAAGCACTATCTTTTGTTATTCATCCCATAAGCAAAGTGAGGCTCAGAAGTTTAAAAAACTTGCCACAGGTCTTATAGCCTCGCTGATGTGTTCTGAGCCACAAGTTCACACCTGTCACATATATTTCTTCAGTGAAGAACAGAATAAAACAGTATTTTTGCAAATAAAATGATAAGAGGCTGATGGCCCTCTTCCTCTACTAGCATGTTCCCTTTATTTACTTTTCAGTCTTTTGATTTTTCTGCCCCCAAATAAACAGATTACGGCAACAGCTGCAGTATGGCTTGTCTCTCTTTCCTCCTTCATTCAAGACTACTGTTTGCCCTTGGCTTTACTAAACTTATCAACAAGAGACTTCACAATTTCAAGAATATGGTCTTATTGGGCATACTCTTTTTTTTTTTTGAGTTGGAGTCTCACTCTGTCGCCCAGACTGGAGTGCAGTGGCCACTCCCGGCCACCGCAGCCTCGACCCACTGGGCTCCGGCGATCCTTCCACCTCAGCCTTCCAAGTAGCTGAGGAACCTGAATTATCTTTAGCTACCACGCCCAGCTGATTTTTTGATTTATTGTAGAGATGAGGTCTCGCTGCCCGGGCGGGTTTCGAACCCGCGGGCTCAGGCAATCCATTCACCTCAGCCTCCCAAAGGCGCGGGATTACAGGCTGAGCCACCGAGCCCGGCGGGGCATACTCTTAAGCCTTCTCCTTACAGTATTTAATGATGAGGATTAGCTGCCCCAAAAGTGTACAGAACAAGGAGAGGAAATGTGGCATAATGTTTAGTAGGATGTGTGAACAGGCAGTTTCTATGGAAGTTTGGTCTCTGATCCAAAATATTTAAGAATTGCTGTTTTTATTTTACACACACACACACACACACACACACACACACACACACACACACACACACTTTTAGTTGGAGTCTCAGGCTGTCACCCAGGCTGGAGTGTAGTGGCATGCTCATGGCCACCGCAGCCTCCACCTACTGGGCTTAGGTGATCCTTCTGCCTCAGCCTTCCAAGTAGTTGGAACCACAGGCAAGTGCCACCACACCCGAGTACTTTTTGAATTTATTGTAGAGACGAGGCCTCATCAAGCTGGTCTCGAACCCCTGGACTCAGGCAATCCTTTTGTCTCTGCTTCCCAAAGCTGAGATTACAGGCATGAGCCACCATGCCCGGCTTAAGAATCGCAGTTTTTGAGCACGTCCACTAGTAATGTGTGTATGTCTGCTAATGACAAATGGGATGGACCTAAACCTGCTGAGTTATAGGATACTGGAATTCTCTCTCTCTCTCTCTTTTTTCTTAAGTCGGAGTCTTACTCTATCACACAGGCTGGAGTGTAGTGACACACTCATGGCTACTGCAGCCTCAACCTGCTGGGTTCAGGAAATCCTTATGCCTCAGTCTTCTAACTAGCAGGAACCACAAGCACACGCCACCATGCTCAGCTAATTTTTTGATTTATTGTGGAGATGAGGTCTTGCCAAGTTGCCCAGGCTGGTCTTGAACCCCTGGGCTCAGGCAACCCTCTTGCCTTCGCCTCCCAAAGTGCTAGGATTACAGTTGTGAGCCACTGCGCTCAGCCTGAATTCTCTTGATCATGGTTGTCCCTCCTGATGACTTAAACATGGTTGCTGAGGTTCAGATTTAGAACTAAAGTTATTCCAATTTACACTGTGACACAAACTGGCAAACACTATAGAAAATATATGATAATCTTACATTTTTTCAGGTCTGCTTCTGCTACTTTGATGTTGACATATGCAAAGACTTTCTGTGGGTTTCCTAAAAAGGAAAAATAAATTCATTTAAACTCTTATCCAGATTACAATGCAAAAAACAGTCAAGTGTTTAAATTAAAAAAAATTAGTTCTGGAAAACGTGTTCTTTCAAAGAAAAGCCTTGTTTATTTTTTATTGGACACAAACATTGCATTTTTTAAAGCGTGAGTACCAAAATATTTTTAAAAATAAGAAAAAAATGTTCAGTAGTCAGTTAAGGAAGCATCTTGACCGTACGTTAGTGATGCTCTACTTAACAGGACACTTAATCAATGTTAGAATGTTAGCTATGAAAACTGGAAATCAGATATTTTGGAATTTAGAATTTTTCTGATTTCAGAAACTGATTCTGGTGAAGCTCCACATCATACATAACACCTCCAGGACCACTTACAACTTTTGGTGTTCAGAGCTAAATCTCATCTCTGGAGTTGCTTTATTTTGTAATACTGGAATCGAGTTACACCTGCTTTGCACTACCCAGTGAAGGACTATACATTTACCTTGGTCATCTTTCCGTGTGATGATCTCCACATCAGAAACTTCTCCAAATCTGCTGAACTGATTTTGCAGGTCTGCCTTAGAAATGGCCTGGCCAAGGCCACCCACAAAAAGGCGTTTTGATTCTTTGTTCACTTTCATGAAGGCTGGGCATGTACCTGGTATGTTCTAGTGGGAAAAGTAATTTACTGTATACAGAGAAGAGTTAGTTCCCTTAGTTCTTCTAAAATCTAACAAGACAACTACTTCCCCCGATTTTTTGGGCCCAGTTGGTCTCCTGAACCTGTGTTTCACTTGCTACTGCACTGCTTTCAAATTTCATCCCTGGAAATTCTGCTCAAGCCCTGTCTTCACAGTCTTCGTGAATGCACTTTATCTTACTTTCTTTTTTTTTCTTTTAGAGACGAGGTCTGGCCAAGTTGCCCAGGCTGGTCTTGAACCTGTGGGCTAAGGCAATCCTCTCACTTCCACCTCCCAAAGTGCTGGGATTACAGGTGTGAGCCACCACACCCTGCTATGAATGAACTTTAAAATGGCACCCCCATACTCATATAGACAAAGGTATAGGCAGGTGTTTTCCCTCTAAATGGCCACAATACTATACTTTACCCCTCCACATTTATTTATTCACGTTGTTAGGTGTTTTTTCTTGATTTACTCATACATTCATTTATCGACTTTAACAAACACTGACAGCAATAGGATATGGCAGGTAATACACTAAAGGATAAAAAGACAGGTCTTCATCTTGGAGTTCTTCACAGTCGTAAGTAAACAAATGGTGCAATTAAATGTTATGTCATAATAAACGTGTTTGCAAAGTACTGTTCAGGCACAAAGAGAGCAATTGATATTGCAGCGAATAGAGAGAAACTTGTGTTACTATGTGCTTGCATCGTAGTTTACAGGTACCCCATTTTTTCAGATGAGCATGAGAGGTTAAGCTACTTTCCCAATGCCATAGAGAAAATCAGTACAGCTAGGATTATGATCCAGGTCTAAACTCAGAACTCGAAATTCTTTTTTATTTTACTTTAAAATTGTGGGGTACAGTTAAGGGCTAGGTATGCAAATATTCATTGCGCAGGTACCCTTCTTGGTGAGGTATGCCCCCCAGAACTCTAAATTCTTAATACCACACTATAAAAACTGTTGGGTTAGAGGGACTCAGGAAAACTTTTCCAGAAGTACTAAGACACATCACAAAATCTCTCGTCTCGCTTAGTATCCGGCTGGCCCTCAGCTTCCATCCCGCCCTTCCCCGAGAGCTGGCCGACTCCGCCCTGGCGAGACCCCAAAACAGAGCCCAAAGCAAGGCGTGTATTCTGGGGAGAGCCACAGTCTACTTCTCCCTGATGGCCTCCGCCCCCAACCTACCTATCCCAGCCCTCCTCCTCCGAGAAGACCCAAAATAAGTGAAGAGAAAGAGTAGGAAATAGCCCTGCCACTTCGCACACCTAAACCCAGTCCTCACCATGTGTCTCCTAAAGCCAGCGCCACAGCGGTCACTAACTTCCGGTCACATGTCCCAACAGGCGTACCCTCTTTTACTTCCTTCTCAATTTTCAACCCACACTTCTAAGGTTCCGTTGGCACAATTCAGTTCCCGAGGGCACTTTATTTCGTTTCCTGTCCTTCGGGCTACCGTGATACCTCCGCCACCTTCCCCTTAATGATCACAAAAGACCCCTAACCAAATTCCCCTGGTTTCTATCCTCCAGCCCGTGTTCACCGATTCCTGGACTAGGCCGGCGGAAGTGAGCGAGCCGAAGGAAAATAGAGAGGCGCTCTCCTTCACGTGATCTCGGAACCACCTCTCCCGGGGCTCACGCGGCCGGGCGACTCCAAGGCTGCTGACGGGGGTGGGCGGCCACGTGCTTGTCGGGTGATCACGAACCAGCTCTCTCGGAAGCGTAGAGACCGCTCAGAACCAGCCATGATCACGTGTGCAGGGGCCCGGGACATCGTGCGAGCGCGGAGTTGGACGCGCTCAGCCGCAGGGTTACGCGTGGCTCCACCGGCTCCCCACCGTGAGCTCCGGGATGGTCCGCGCCGGAAGCGCGCGCGAAGCTTGAAGCGTCGGCTGAGAGACGCGCGGATCGGGAGCTGACAGCGGCGTCTCGGGGCGGGCTCGTCAGTTCCGCGCCATGGACGCCGAGCTGGCCGA